AGATAACCCAGGGTTAGCGCGAGATTTGAATTCAGATTTGAAAGCTTAAAAAACATTTCAGTTTTAATTCTTTTTGTCTACAAGTTGATGATTGGAAGCTCGAAAAAAAACAGAGGAAATTATTCGAGAAAATGCTTTTGAATACCAGAAAAAGAAACCCGGGTTAAATTTAACCCCGGGTTAGGCGCTAATCGGTCTTCGAACAACTGGGCCCTGCTTGTTAATCTAAACACAACGAAACATTTATTGAGAAAATGAGGCTTGAACCGAGTTAGCGACGCTAACCGGGCTGGATCACCTCATATAGACAGGTACTAAGCCCTAGCTGTTTGTTTCTTCAACAGAGAGGACGCAAACTCAGTAGAAAGGAAGCAAGATTCTTCAGTAAGTCAGACTGCGGTTAAGCTTGTCATGTGACTGTTGTGCAACCACGCACTTTCGATTGATTCAGCCGAAATATTTCAGAACAATATTTATTACCTTTCCAGTCTATAATATCTTTTAATTGAGCTGTTAATTGTTTTCTCCTTACAAGTCCGTTTTTTTTTGTTTAAGTTCTCCCTTCTCGGAGACCCAGGAGTAGCTCATCTGGATAGGGTTTCTATGGAGAAAGTCGTTGCAAATTTTACAAGAAGAACAGAAAATGTCTCACTGAATTTACCTCGAAAAATGTAAGTGGACATCGTGAAATCGGGCCGATTTTACGATGTCCTCGATACACGCACAATATTGGTGGCACACATTGATTTTTTTCTTTTTCCAATATTGTCATAAAAAGTATAGACTAATTGATCATTAAAATATATTCAGTCTTGACTAAATTCCAATAATACCAGAAATAGTGCTTCCGAGCCGCAAGGAATGTATTTGGGAAACCGTTTTTGCCAATTTTTAAAATTTATGCTATAGTTGTTTGTATTATATATTGTTTATTTTTCATAATGTTCATTTCCAATATTTCTGTAAATTATTTACTTATTTTCAAAGTTAATGAACATCTTTTTATCATTTTTTTCTTACAGCATCAGTCTCGTTCACAAACAAGTGAAGGCACTGGCAAGAAAACCAACGTCCATCCAAGACCGAGGCCTAAGACAGCGAGTATGTGAACACCAATCATTAGTTTATTTATATTGTATATATTGTATGTGTTGAGATTGTGACGAGTGTTGTGACTGTGACAAGTGTTGTGACTGTAACGGGTGTTGTGACTGTGACGGGTGTTGAGATTGTGGCAAGTGTTGTGACTGTAACGAGTGTTGTGACGGGTGTTGAGACTGTGATGGTTGTTGTGACTGACGGGAGTTCAAAATATGACGGGTTTGTGACTCTGACGGGTGTTGTGACTGTGACAAGTGTTGTGACGGATATTGAGACTGTAACGAGTGTTGAGACTGTCGGGTGTTGTGACTGTGACGGGAGTTGAGACTGTGACGGGTTTGTGACTGTGACAAGTGTTGTGACGGGAATTGAGAATGTGCCAAGTGATGTGACGGGTATTGAGACTGTGACGAGTGTTATAACGGGTGTTGAGACCGTGACAAGTGTTGTGACGGGTATTGAGACTGTGATGAGTATTTTAACGGGTGTTGAGACCGTGACAAGTGTTCTGACGGGTATTGACACTGTAACGAGTGTTGTTACGGGTGTTGAGACCGTGACAAGTGTTGTGACGGGTATTGAGACTGTAACGATTGTTGTGACGGGTGTTGTGACTGAGAAGGGAGTTGAGACTGACGGGTTTGTGACTATGACGGGTGTTGTGACTGTGACAAGTGATGTGACGGGTATTGAGACTGTGACAAGTGTTGTGACGGGTATTGAGACAGTGACGAGTGTTGTGACGGGTATTGAGACTGTGACGAGTGTTGTGACGGATATTGAGACTGTGGCGAGTGTTCTGACTGACTACCATGAGGCAGGTGCGATAACAATAGGATATGTGTCCTCTTCCATATTATACATTTGAGCGAAATCTAAGCCCATCCCTATACGCCCAGTGAAATGCAGAACACGCCTGTGAGGTTTATATCCCCCGCCAGCAGTGTAGGTTTTTACACATTCCCTACGAATTAATAGAGGCAGAATGACAAGACAATCATGGCCAGCGCCCCCACAATTCTCCTGAAGCTCCGGTGACCAGGAAAACCACCGTGTAGTCGTCGCGGCAACTCGCAGTAGTACTCGCAGTACCTTTTTAGTACCTACCTCACAACTTTTTTGCTCTTCCTCTTTAACTTTTTCTGGAGGACCCTGAGCTAGCAGAATCTTACCAGTTTTCTTTAATGCGGCTGCCCATGTTTCGAGGCCCGCTCATGCCGCAAGCTGGATACTAACCAACTGCATGTAGCCTAACAATCAAGCNACTGTAACGAGTGTTGTTACGGGTGTTGAGACCGTGACAAGTGTTGTGACGGGTATTGAGACTGTAACGATTGTTGTGACGGGTGTTGTGACTGAGAAGGGAGTTGAGACTGACGGGTTTGTGACTATGACGGGTGTTGTGACTGTGACAAGTGATGTGACGGGTATTGAGACTGTGACAAGTGTTGTGACGGGTATTGAGACAGTGACGAGTGTTGTGACGGGTATTGAGACTGTGACGAGTGTTGTGACGGATATTGAGACTGTGGCGAGTGTTCTGACTGACTACCATGAGGCAGGTGCGATAACAATAGGATATGTGTCCTCTTCCATATTATACATTTGAGCGAAATCTAAGCCCATCCCTATACGCCCAGTGAAATGCAGAACACGCCTGTGAGGTTTATATCCCCCGCCAGCAGTGTAGGTTTTTACACATTCCCTACGAATTAATAGAGGCAGAATGACAAGACAATCATGGCCAGCGCCCCCACAATTCTCCTGAAGCTCCGGTGACCAGGAAAACCACCGTGTAGTCGTCGCGGCAACTCGCAGTAGTACTCGCAGTACCTTTTTAGTACCTACCTCACAACTTTTTTGCTCTTCCTCTTTAACTTTTTCTGGAGGACCCTGAGCTAGCAGAATCTTACCAGTTTTCTTTAATGCGGCTGCCCATGTTTCGAGGCCCGCTCATGCCGCAAGCTGGATACTAACCAACTGCATGTAGCCTAACAATCAAGCATCTTTTTTTTTGCCGCTAACAGTACTTATCGCATCCATTTTCTGTAAACCATAAAAGACATGTATACAGACAAACTCACCAGCTAGGAATTCGCTAGTGAACAAGGAAGGCTTGTTAATGCATTCAGACTTGTATTGACACCAGACCTGGTGTTTTTCTTTTACCTTACAGCTGTAAAAAGTTCCTCCATAGGTAGTGGAAAAGACAGAAGAAGACCTCTTTCTGCCCACTTGTTCCAACCAAGACCTTCGGCCAAACCACCTCCAGCTTTTGATACAAGCAAAACTAAGAGGCAATTGGACCTCATTGAAAGAGACTTAAAGCTAACCACAAAAACGTTACAGGATCGTCTGGGTATCTCCAAACAGGGATTCGTTTGAATCAAAAAACGTCTTCCACCATGTTTTGTTAGCCTGAGAAAACAGCTGGTATTTCGCGACGCCTGACCACAGCTAGTTTACTCACGAAATGATATTCAGGAACGGGCGCAGAAATTTCATCTTGATGACGGTTCACTACCCAGATCTGGGTAGTGCGTCTGATCGGTTGAAGCAAATTTCTCTCACAGCACAACCAATCAGAAGCAGATCTGGGCAGTAACACGTCATCAGTATGGAATTTCTTCGCTCTTTCCTTCAGATCGACGTCATTTCGCGGAATTTTTTGAATTTTTTTTTTGAGTTTCTGAATTGAAAACTTTAAAACGCCATGATTAATGTAACTTTCATACATGAAGCATCCAAGTTAGTTCAGTGGAATTTTGATCACGGTGAGTAATCAAAACCTGACGGCTCTGGAAACCCGGATCCTTCTCATTTTATTACAACATTTTATACTTTTTTTACGTTGATATGGAGCCTTACCACCATAGGAACTTTTGTAAATACAACTTGATAGTTAGACTGCAATAACAGTTAATCCATTTTAAAATTATACTCTCGAATCTATTTAACCGCTTTCTGGTTCTAGTCTCATTCTCTGTCGTGCCGACCAATCGATAGCCTAGAAAAGATTGCTCTCTACTCCAAATATAAAAACCTTATAAGGCATTGTATTGTCTATACTACTAGGATTATTACAAAAGACGTAATTATAAGCAGAAGAGGAAATGAAGCAAGTCTGACAGGTCTTAATCATGTCATGAAGATGAGCTCTTACTCTCCCCGGCGTCTTTTTTCGCGTACTGCTGAAGCGCGACTTTTCGTGCTATCCCAGCTTCCTCCCAGGCTAGAACCATCCAAGATCACTTACCTACATGTTTTTTTTTTATCTAATGTCACTTGCGCGGGTGTGGGGGTCGGTTCCATGACTTCTAAATACCCTGCACTGGAAGAGAAAAAGGATATAGTGAGACGTCACGCACGATTATAAGGAGACGGGGGAGAGTGGGACAGCTCCACTGAGGCTACCCGTTCGTGCGTTCTCGCGCGGCTAGTACAGCTCTGCTCTTAATGAACGCTGTGATCGTTCAACCAACTATCATTCCCTTATTAAACTGATGACGATCACATTCATACATTGAAGCGGACAGTTCGCTTCTTTTCAATGCCTTCCTGCTAACAACTCTTTCATTTTGTTTACCCTTCCCTTCTGATCTTTTAATGTTCTCACCTCATTAATTTGTTTTGTGATAATACGTGTACGAGCTCATTTTATCAGTTTGTCATCAGATACTGTTGGAAGAATCTATGCAAATTTAAATATTATCGGAGAAATCGGCTTAAACACCTGGCGTGGAATGACATAGAAACTGAAATCTTATCAATGCCAATGTCGTCTTATCAAAAACTATCAAAAAGTTGCCCAACAACGCGTCAAACGGCACGTATTCAAGGAGCCAGAGTCAGTCCATTTATATCTTACTCATCCTGCGTACTTACAGAGCACACTCATTATGGCTCGACGAGCAGTCATCCCTCTTGCCATTTGCATTGTGCTTTTCGTAGCGTTTATGTTTGGCAGGCCGTCAGATGGACAACAACTGCCGACAAAGAACCCCTCAACGGACAAACAAGGAACGGTAAGCATACTGTATGAATCTCCCTAGGACGAGCACGACAAAGGCTAAAAAACAGACTGATGAGGCAGCCAGAAGGGAATCACATTTATTGGTCTTTCAAACTGAAGGGTGCCGCAATTTTACTGTTTTACACGCCCTTCAGACTCCACCCAAGAAAACAGTTGTCTTCTGGTTTTTCAGTTAATCGTCCGAATTCCAGCCCTATTAGTTTATATAACAAAAGCCCATTGGGTCCGCTTATCCTCCTTATCCTTATGAACATAACAGTTTTCTGTACATCTCGCTTTTGCTGCGTTAAGTTTTTTTTTACTTAAATAATGGATCTAAATCTATTTTTCGCTTTTACCTCAGCAGTGTGACAACACATGCACGTTGTCATGCCCTACTCAAGGTCCGGCTGGTCCTCCAGGAGCCCCGGGAACCCCTGGAGTACCGGGGATTCCCTCTTCCCAGGGAATTCCCGGCCGTGACGGAAGAGACGGCATAAAAGGCGATGTAGGTCACCCGGGTCAGAAAGGGGAACGTGGTGACGAAGGACTCAAAAGGAGGTGGAAGCAATGTGTCTGGAATTTGGATACATCTGGTGAAAGCAAAGATAACGGGAAAATTCACGTAAGTAGATATACTTCGTATACTATATTCCGTAATCATCCTATTTTTCACTGACAGGAGCCCATAACCTGGGGTTGTCAGCTTCCTACCTCTGTCAGGGCGTTTTTTACGGACCAATTTATTTTTAGAACGGTTTTGGCGCGAAGAAGTCCCACAAACCAGTCGGCAAAACCTACAGACCTAAAAATGATAATTTTTGCCTGTTAATGACGTTACTTTTTCGTTTCTGATATTATTATACCTCGAATGCGTTCATAGACATGATGGAGATTCCATTTAGGCCTAGTATGGGTGTTCCTCCCTCCGGGTTATGAGCTCGCTCCTGCCACTGACACACTTTGTTTGTTTGTTTTTGTTTTGTTTTTGTCCCCAACCCCATCGATTAAGCGCCCCCTCCCCTCCCCCATCACTTTCTTAAATAGTAGGGATACAAGAGGAATTCGAAAAGTGTGCAGATCAGTGACAAGGATGATCTAGAGGATGATGAGATAATCAATATTTCGGATAAACATGCATACTGATAAATTGCTTTGTGTGTGTGTTAAGTGTTTTGTGCGACTACGGTGCGGTTGATTACAACTAATGTTATAACAGACGGAAGACTATTATGTAAACCTTTCCTGGGCTAGCTGGGTTATCCGCTCGCTCTGGGTTATGGGCTCGCTCCTGCCACTGACACTTTTTTTTCTATTTTTTTTTCTTTTTGTTTTTTTTTTTTTTGCAGAAAACATACCTGGGCTGGGTGGGTTATCTGTAAAGAGAGATCTTGAATATAGGGATAACCTCTTCGGGTGTCGTAATGGCTACCTGTAACCAGTCTATGTGTATGTGTAACTTTACGTTTCTATTGAAGATTTAGCCTAAAAAAAAAAAGTTTCACCTCAACGCTTACAGGAAAACTTTATAAGCGCTCCCCTTTTGGTAGTCTGCTACACAGCCGTTTTTAGTGTCGTCACGCAACGCTCCTCCCCAGGGGAGGAGTGTTGCGTGACGACACTAAAAACGGCTGTGTAGCAGACTACCCTTTTGGCTGTAATTAAATAAGCACCCGCACTTATTCAAGGAAATACGTTATTTCGCAGGCGACCTTTTGCGTGACAGTACATGTGATGTGTTCGCCGTATTCATCATACCAGTATAGTTACACGTACACTAAGCGTGTATACACAAGTTCTGCACGTTGCTCCAACTAGCGAGCCATAACAACTGTTTACCTCATCACTTTACTTATTATTTTATTATAGTTAGTCATGTGATATGTCAGTTACAGGTATTGTCGCCTTAGTCTGATATTATGACGTAAACTTGAGGTTTACCTCATAGTATATACTGACGTTTGTTCCTGCAAAGTTGGGAGAACTGTCGCCACAACATTTTGAGCCGAAAGTTTGATGCTTTATTACAATACTTTAGTTTCGTTCAGTATTAGAACTGTCTCTTGTGTGAAAGTGTTTAAAGGTGGTTTGTTGGAGAATAAAGTAAAGATTCTGCTTGTTCTGGTTATTCTTATTTTTTACTAACCTCTACTCAGCGGCCACTTGCCGTTACCCCGAGATTGGCCGCTAAACCGTTTAAGTCCTAAGAGTGATCAGCATCAAATTTCACCTTTAATATCAATGCCTTGTAGAACAGAATGGTCAAGAGAATTACGGACATGATCACACGAGATGAATTTGCTTGATATTTTATCAACTTCTCCCCACTACTTCTGAAAGAAATAGATGGAGGCAACAAATGAGAATTTAAATTCTGATCTTAGGGTTTAAAGGGTTAATGGAGGTGCAGTTGTATTGCAATTATGGTTTACGACACCTTACATACTCTGATAACGAAATCTGATATGTATGTTCCTTCTTTTCAGGAATGCGATTTCACTAAAAAGAGGAGCGATACATACCTTCGTGTTGTTTACATGGGAAACACGCGCATTACAGGATGCGCAAACTGCTGTAAGAGGTGGTACTTCACTTTTAACGACGTGGAGTGTCGCGCTCCTGCCACTATTGATGGTGTGGTGTATCATGGTACCAATATTAATATCCACCGCTCGGCCAGTATTGAAGGTTACTGTGGCGGAATAGCTTCTGGAAAGGTCCGAGTTGGTTTTCACGTTAAGAATTGCAAGGCGTATGCTACATCTGCAGATGCTCATACAAGCTGGAATGCAATAAGCAGAATCATCATTGAAGAAGTTGAACCTCCGGTTCTTTAAGCTTCTTATCCTCGAGATCGGTCAAAAAAGATTTCAAAGCATCGACAGCTTCTATCTCTGGAACTTTAAAGCAGCAAAGAAGCATGAAAAAACTTGGATTTCTTCCTAGAGAGGCAGCCTCTGAGGTGGGCTCATGATAAATTTAGAGCGCAAATAAACTGCTGGAGAGGAGGACGCGCGCGAGGAGAGAGAAGGCGCTTACCCGATCCGAGAGGCTTAAACTAAACATCTTTTCTCGCCCATCATCGGTCGGTCACTGACGCAGTGCTCCTGTCCATAACACTTGTTAAAGGTCTAAAGCGTCATGTTTTGTTTTGTTTTTGTTTTTGTTTTTTTTTGGGGGGGGGGTGTAGTGTTGTTGTTGTTGTTACTTTTGCCGTTCTCAATAAAACCCTTGAAAAAAAAGGGTATAGCCGTCTTTTTCCCCACACTCAAAACGAAAAGAAATCAGCTGTCCCTAAATTCACAACCTAACAGCCCCACCAACATTGACAATGCAAAATCTTGATCGGACTAGATCGCTTTAAACCCCTATAGCCCAGGTCTTTCCTAATTCTTTTGTTGTTTGGTGAGTTAAGCACATGCAGCCCAAGTTCAGCATTTTACGTGTGATATTATAATCCTCGTGGTATCGTAACCCTATCGTAAATGGCCGTCCAACGTAAAAGATTTGCATGGGGAATTCGGGTAATAGCAATTTCAAGAGGACTTGCTGTAATTTTCAATTAAACTTTTAACCTTATTTACTCGGTTCGTTCTTGCTTGCTGTCTGGTTATCTTCCCGATCCGCTGCGATTTAGGCGATTTCCTTCACCCCCGAGTTTCCGCGACCGAAGGGAGGACAAGGCCAAGCACTCTCAATCTAGACAACCCGCCGAACGAAGCCAAAATTTCCAGGTTAAAATTTCCCCAAGCCCACTGAAAAATCAGCTGAAAAATTCCACCTCAGAGTCCAATTGCAAAGGTTCAACTTTTATTCCCTAGCAATGCCAAGCAGTTGCGTCCCCGGTTAAACGGTAAAACGCTGATAGAGAAGACTTGCGGGGTACTAGACTGCAATTTGCTCGTGGTTACGGGGATTGATTTGATCTGATCCTGATCGTCTCATTGGAGGTGCCCAGCATGAAAGCGTGTAGGTTATATCAGTTATACTCCGTATATTTTATAGTCCATGGCTCTCTCGTGTACTAGTTGAAGATGACTCCATGCCCTCTAGATCACCGTCTATATATTCCTATAGACTGTCACGGTTCAAAGTTCTCGTTTGATGGGCAGTATTACATTCACGAGTCCACCGAATTTTAATAGAACCCTTTTTGCCCAGATTTTCTTCACACAAAGTTATCCAGTTTCGAAGTTGATTCAATCTGTCCATAAAATTATTTTTATAACGTCTGAGTAGGTTTAATAGTTCCTCGCTGGAGACGTTTTAGCACTGCCATAGTATCGACTCGGTAGCATGGAGGACGTGTTTTGACAGGTATGCAATTTGACCAAAAACCGTCAAAGGGTTGCCCAATAATGCGTCAAACGGCACGTATTTACCCTCAGTCTCAAAAGAGTCGATCCATTTCTATCTCCGACTCATCCTGCCTACTTAGAACACAATGGCTCGACGAGCAAACATCTCTGTTGCCGTTTGCATTGTGCTTTTTCTTATGTTTAATATGTCTGGTAGGTCAAATGGACAACAACTGCCTACAAAGAAACCCGCAACGAACGCTCAAAGTACGGTAAGTATAAGAATCTTTTCAGAATGGAACAATTGTTCATGAGGCAAAAAGAAGAGTTTTCACTTCTTAATACGTTAATTTGTGTGAGCACATTCCGTGGATTTTTCTCTTTTAAACTGAAAGGTACATCTTTGCTCTGAAGACAACACACTACAGAACAGTAATTGTCTTCTGGATTTATTTTTAATATCTTTTATTATATAGACACGAGTGTTTTACTCGAAAATATACCACTCGTAAAATTCAATTACTTTTTGGCGAATAAAAATCTATTATTTTATCGATGTCTTTTTGTCTATATAATAAAAAGAACATTGACACGGCGGCTTGAAGATATGAATTTTATTTTCTAAAAAATATTGTTTTTGCCACTCGAAAATAAAATTCATATCTTCGCGCCACAGTGTAATATCCTAGGTATAATCAGATTGCAGTCGTTTTAGTTTAAACAAAATGATGAACGTGCCGATCGACATTCTCCTAAAATTGTGCATCTCCCCTTTGCTGCGTTTTTTTACTTAACTATATCTACATGTAAATCTGTTTTTCGCTTTTTTCCATAAGCAGTGTGACAATTCATGCACCGCAACATGCCCGATTCAAGGTCCGGCTGGTCCTCCAGGAACGCCGGGAACACCTGGAGTACCGGGTGTTCCCTCTTCCCAGGGAATTCCCGGGCGTGACGGAAGAGATGGCATAAAAGGCGATGTAGGTCCCTCGGGTCAGAAAGGGGAACGTGGTGACGAAGGACTCAAAAGGAGATGGAAGCAAGGACATGATCACACGAGATGAATTTGCTTGATATTTTATCAACTTCTCCCCACTACTTCTGAAAGAAATAGATGGAGGCAACAAATGAGAATTTAAATTCTGATCTTAGGGTTTAAAGGGTTAATGGAGGTGCAGTTGTATTGCAATTATGGTTTACGACACCTTACATACTCTGATAACGAAATCTGATATGTATGTTCCTTCTTTTCAGGAATGCGATTTCACTAAAAAGAGGAGCGATACATACCTTCGTGTTGTTTACATGGGAAACACGCGCATTACAGGATGCGCAAACTGCTGTAAGAGGTGGTACTTCACTTTTAACGACGTGGAGTGTCGCGCTCCTGCCACTATTGATGGTGTGGTGTATCATGGTACCAATATTAATATCCACCGCTCGGCCAGTATTGAAGGTTACTGTGGCGGAATAGCTTCTGGAAAGGTCCGAGTTGGTTTTCACGTTAAGAATTGCAAGGCGTATGCTACATCTGCAGATGCTCATACAAGCTGGAATGCAATAAGCAGAATCATCATTGAAGAAGTTGAACCTCCGGTTCTTTAAGCTTCTTATCCTCGAGATCGGTCAAAAAAGATTTCAAAGCATCGACAGCTTCTATCTCTGGAACTTTAAAGTAGCAAAGAAGCATGAAAAAACTTGGATTTCTTCCTAGAGAGGCAGCCTCTGAGGTGGGCTCATGATAAATTTAGAGCGCAAATAAACTGCTGGAGAGGAGGACGCGCGCGAGGAGAGAGAAGGCGCTTACCCGATCCGAGAGGCTTAAACTAAACATCTTTTCTCGCCCATCATCGGTCGGTCACTGACGCAGTGCTCCTGTCCATAACACTTGTTAAAGGTCTAAAGCGTCATGTTTTGTTTTGTTTTTGTTTTTGTTTTTTTTTGGGGGGGGGGTGTAGTGTTGTTGTTGTTGTTACTTTTGCCGTTCTCAATAAAACCCTTGAAAAAAAAGGGTATAGCCGTCTTTTTCCCCACACTCAAAACGAAAAGAAATCAGCTGTCCCTAAATTCACAACCTAACAGCCCCACCAACATTGACAATGCAAAATCTTGATCGGACTAGATCGCTTTAAACCCCTATAGCCCAGGTCTTTCCTAATTCTTTTGTTGTTTGGTGAGTTAAGCACATGCAGCCCAAGTTCAGCATTTTACGTGTGATATTATAATCCTCGTGGTATCGTAACCCTATCGTAAATGGCCGTCCAACGTAAAAGATTTGCATGGGGAATTCGGGTAATAGCAATTTCAAGAGGACTTGCTGTAATTTTCAATTAAACTTTTAACCTTATTTACTCGGTTCGTTCTTGCTTGCTGTCTGGTTATCTTCCCGATCCGCTGCGATTTAGGCGATTTCCTTCACCCCCGAGTTTCCGCGACCGAAGGGAGGACAAGGCCAAGCACTCTCAATCTAGACAACCCGCCGAACGAAGCCAAAATTTCCAGGTTAAAATTTCCCCAAGCCCACTGAAAAATCAGCTGAAAAATTCCACCTCAGAGTCCAATTGCAAAGGTTCAACTTTTATTCCCTAGCCACGCCAAGCAGTTGCGTCCCCGGTTAAACGGTAAAACG